GCTCAGCTCCGGGATTCCTGTCTTGGATTCACGTGGATTGTAGCCTTCAGGCCTAGCATAAGGCTTTCCGTTCATCCTTCGTCCAGAGCCGCCGGGTCTTCGCAGCCAACTGCGTCGAAGTCGTTTCCGAAGCTTGGGACAGACTGCGTCGAAGTAACAATTTGGGCCAGTCTATAGCAAATACCAGAGGAGCCGCCTTCGCCGAAGTCTGCTGGCTCCTTCGCACGGCCTTCGCGGAGGTCCGTTCCGAAGCTTCGCTGGGGTCTTCGCTGGGGTCTTCTTGAGCTTTGCAGTTGTGGCCTTGTCCAAGCTTGTGTTTTTGAAGCCTTGCTTGCAAAAGCACAGCCGCACCGTAGCCTGCCGCTGACTTCCGTCTGCAGTCCTATCGGCCAAATTAGCAGTGGGCGCAGCCGAAAACCTCCTAACCATTCATTGTCATCTTGAGTTGCCCTACTACGTTACATCATCCCCCAATCAGGACCGAGCTGGCAGAAGATTGAGAACCACCCCAATCAGCATCCCAAGGCAACCTCAGCAATGGCGGAGGAAATCCGCCCTCCGAATCCGAGGCATAACTCAGATTGTTCTGAAGTGGACCACGAAGAGCTCTTCGAAATCAGCCGTGTGCGGAACATGTATGTTCTGCGTAACACGAAGACGAATGAGGTGCATGCTAGTCCAGAGAGACTGAAACTGCATTTTCGGAATGGGCGTGCATTCATGAGCAAGGAGGATGGCAGCACGTTGTGGTGCAAGCAGCTGATGTCATGGTCAGTCTGGAAAATAGCTGGCCGTGAGTTCGTCTGCAAAGAACATGACAACGATGAGGTGGAACGAGTGTGGCTCTGCGATTTCCAGAAACGGAAACAAGTGCTGTATATCAACGAGGCCGGCCGCTGCAATGGTTCTCTGTTGAACACGGTAGACGAATGGAAATACTTAGTGAAATTCACACACATTGCCCGACCACAAAAGTTTGTTTGAACGGAGCGGATATCTCAGCCCTGAGGTTCTGCCAGCTTGGAAGGAAGCTTCTCGGATGCAGGCCGTGGCCCTCCAGTACATTGTGCCAGGAGCCACAGGGCAGCAGGTTTTTTGGGCACTGGAGCCGTGGATCCCTCCCACCAACGCGAAGCCGCGTGATGCTGTGAAGTTCATCCAGAAAAAAATGAAGTCCTCCTGGGCCCCTCTGTTTACACGCCATTGCTGCAGACTCGATGGGCAAATCATCTGGCCGGAACATTCGCACAATCAAGGCCCTGATCGAATGCACGTGCTCTTTTGCAGCAGCGTGTTTCTCTTGATTTTTTTGCTGAATCAATGCATGAAAGGGGATGCCCAAGATAGAGCACGCCACATTCTGAAAGCGTTCTTGAAAGAATTTGTTGGAGGGCGATTCAACCTGTTGGTGGATGCTGCTGTGGCGGATGCTGACAAAGTTTCTTTGATTCGAAGTGGTGTCAAAGTTGCCGTGGTGGATGGACGTGTGGACTTCAGCGTGCTGGATGATGACGAGGCCACCACGGCAAGACTGGCTGAAGAGACGGACAACAGGCCTGCTGGCAAAGGGCTGGGGCTCGTGTTGTGGGGTCAGCCTACTTAAAGGATCATGGGACTTAGTAAGTAGGGTTATAACTAAGGTAACTATACTTATAACCCCAATTAGGGGACTTATAACCTTACATACTAAGTCCCATGATCCTCCAAGTATGGGGTACTGTACTCTGACTCTTACATGTCTGTCTCGTTGGGCCATCCAGTAGTCTCCAGCACAGGCGCAAGCAAAGGCTGCCAGCCAAGCTCCGGGAAGAGCTGCCCCTTGTGGATGCCTTGCTTGAACTCCACAGAGTACAGCATTTGCATTGGTTGGAACACCAGGTTTGTCAGTCACTCTGCAATCGGATCCACTTGGAGATGTGCGTTCGAGGGTTCCCAACAGAACCCGCGGAGTTGGATTTCACAGACAGACGAGCCAAAGATCCCGTGGCGCGTGCAAGTTGCTTGAAAAAAGCTTGGGCTGCTAAGCAAGCCAGGGCAAAGAAGAAGAAGATGAACCAGCAGCCCACTGAGAGTGAGCCGGTCGACTCAGTCAATGTTCAGCGACGTCGTACACGTGATCTGCGTATGGCATCAGTGGCGGCAAAGTTGTGGCTCAGTTCGAAAGACAAACGGAAGGAGCGGAGTCAGTACTTGCTGTCCAGCAGGGCACACTTCAAGGGCTCGAGGCGGGTCGCAGTGGCACTGGACGCGACACGTGCCGGAGGCCGCAAGCGCAGTCATTATGCTGCCATGTGTCTCGACACAGGCGTCGCATGTTGGTGCCCTCCACAGGCCCGGTTCTTCCATGTCCTCTGGGGACAAAAAAATTAATTAATGCTTGCTTCGGAAATCCGAGGGATCGATGGATGACCGGCGTTTGAGGACTGTTATTGTTATTATTGTTGCAATGGAATCGACTAGATTAGACAGATGTCATGTGATTGCATTGTTGCAATCGACAATCGAATCTAGATGCCATGTACTCTTCACGGGCACACTGCAGTCCTATTGAATCAAGTAACCTTC